CGCACATTATTACCGGATGGCGCCCAGATCACATACATACAGTTCAATCGCCATGGAGCCAAAGTCTTTCATAAAGTCTTTCAGTATACTGCTGTGCTCCATGGCATAGCTATCTGGGGTAGCATGGCTTTAACAGTCCGCATAAAGGCACAAACCAGCCTTTCTGCAGGGAAAAAGAACAGGTGCCATAGTCTAAAGGCAAGAGGCGGGCAAGCAGCCCCCTCCAAGGACACGTGGCGAGGTTGGTTTCGCCACACATGCGAACGGCTCCAAAAGCGCTGGGAGGTAAAATACCACTTAACTGTTCCCCTGGGTGGTCCGATGTTCGGTATTTTGAGCTGTATTCTCCGGTAAGGATATTTCCACGAAATAGTCATTCAGTTTTTGTAATACATCCAGCGACATTGATATATAAGTCCAGACAAAAAGCATAGGCAAAAGCATAGTTCCGTTACACTGCTCCCCTTTTGTGGAACACACTGGCAGACCCGGATTGATCCTTTTTGGGTCAACTTGGGGCTGTCCGGTCTGCGGTTAAGGTAGAAGTTCCATTTGCCTGGACAGTCCGTCTGCGTTCCCATTGAACCAGCCAGGGCGGTATTGAATGGAGAAGTTGTACGGTTTTTGGGCCAAGCTCCATCTCAGTAATCGTCCATTGTCCCCAGCTACTCGGTTCAGCCATACTAGGGGGTTATGGTCTGTGATCAGGGTGAATTCCTGACCGTACAGGTATGGTGTGAGCTTCTTTAGAGCCCAGACCAGGGCTATACACTCTTTTTCCACTGCCGCGTAGCTCACTTCCCTGGGCAATAGTTTTCTACTCAGGCACGCGACAGGGTGTTCCCCTCCATCTTCCCTGACCTGGCTTAGAACTGCCCCCAGTCCGTACATGGACGCATCTGTATGGACGACAAATCTTTTGTTAGGGACGGGGGCAGACAAAACCGGATCAGGGCTTGTTTCAGGGTTTGGAACGCTGTTTCGCAGGCGGGAGACCACAGGACTACTCTAGGCAAATTTTTCTTTGTCAAATCTGTCAGGGGTTTAGCGATGGCGCTGTAGTCAGGGACAAATTCCTGTAATATCCTGCTGTCCCTAGAATGCCAGTACTTGGGTCTTGGTGTGGGGTATGGGCCAATTGGCTACAGCTTCCACCTTAGTGGGTTCTGGTCGCTGTTTCCCACACCCTACCCTGTGTTCCAAGTACTGCACTTTGGCCATTCCGAAATTACATTTCTCTGGTTTCAGAGTTAGGCCTGCGGCCCTAATCTGGTCCAGCACAGCCTCTACATGTCTTAAGTGCTCTCCCCAAGTCTCACTATAGATCGCAATGTCATCCAGGTACGCACAAGCGAATTCCTGGAAGCCATCAAGGAGACGATCCACTAAGCGCTGGAATGTAGCTGGGGCATTTTTCATCCCGAATGGCATGACCTTAAACTGGTATAAGCCAAACGGGGTGACAAACGCCGACTTAGGGATAGCGTCCTTGGCCAGGGGAATCTGCCAGTACCCTTTGCATAGATCGATGGTGGTCAGATAGCATCCCCTGGCAATACGATCTAATAGTTCATCTACTCGGGGCATGGGGTATGCATCTGCCACTGTTCGGTCATTGAGGCATCGGTAATCAACACAGAACCAGGTTGTTCCGTCCTTTTTGGAAACCAGGACAACTGGGGATGCCCAGGGGCTGTCGGACGGCTCTATAACTCCCAGTTTTAACATCTCCTGAATCTCCTTTCTCATCTCCTCTTTTACGGCTTCAGGGATTCTATAGGGATTCTGTCTGAGAGGGGTTTGTCCTGGGGTTTCCACATAATGTGTCACTAAGGGTGTGTAACCGGGCTCTTGGGAAAACGTCAATCCTTTCTCAGCTAGTAGTCGTTGGAGTTGTTCCCTTTCTACTGGAGTTAACCGCTCCCCTAGCTGCACTGTATTGAGCAGGGTTTTAGGCTCGGACTCGGCTAACAGATCTGGGATGGGAAGACTGTCCGGGTCTTCAGTGGCCGAGATACATATGGCCGCTATATCTTTGTGCCTTTCCTGGTACTCTTTTAATAAATTGACATGAAAGGACTTCTGGATCCTTTCGTCCTGGCTACTGGCAATTACATAGGTGGTGTCACATATCTGGGCCACTACCTTGTAAGGGCCCTGCCAGGAGGTCTGTAGTTTGTTTCCCTTGACAGGTCTAAGTACCAGAACTTTCTGACCTACTTGGAACGTTCTCAACCAGGCGCCCCGATCGTACCAATGTTTCTGACGGCCCTGGGCTGCCTGGGGATGTTCTCGGGCCATCCTGGCTAGGTGCCCCATGCGGTCCCGCATCTCCAGCACATAAGGTACGATAGGAACCCCCTCATGTTCTATCTCTCCCTCCCAGTCCTCTCGGATGAGGTCGAGGGGGCCTCGCACTCGCCGTCCATAGAGCAGCTCGAAGGGAGAGAACCCTGTGGATTCCTGTGGCACCTCTCGATATGCAAACAAGAGGTGCGGCAAGAATCGCTCCCAGTCTCTGTATTCTGCTGTAAAGGTCCGCAGCAATTTCTTTAGGGTACCATTAAAGTGTTCACAGAGACCGTTAGTCTGAGGGTGGTAAGGTGAGCTGAGCAGGGTCTTGACACCACAGACCTTCCATAACTGCTGAGTTAGTTCTGTGGTGAACTGGGTCCCTCGGTCAGATAGGATTTCCTGAGGAAATCCCACTCTGGTGAATATCCCAACTAGAGCACTGGCGACAGTGTCAGCCTGGATATTCGTCAGAGCGACGGCCTCTGGGTAGCGGGTAGCATAGTCCACTACTGTAAGAATATACTTCTTACACGAGGGGCTGGGGTTAGGTAGGGGTCCCACTAGGTCGACTGCCACCCAGCTAAATGGTTCCTCGATCACGGGCATTCGTGACAGTCGAGCTTTAGGGTGATCTCCTCTCTTTCCTACTCGTTGGCATGTGTCACAGGTACTGCAGTAATGCCGCACGTCCTTCGAGATCCCAGGCCAGAAAAAGGTCTGTGATCCTGTAGGCGGTGCGGTTACCCCCTAAGTGCCCTGCCAACGGGATGTCGTGTCCAATTCGGAGAAGTTCCAACCGGTACTTTCTGGGTACCACTAGTTGGCGCTTCTGCGAAGGGACACAGCCTCTCCTCCTACCTTGGGTCAACCTGTATAATCTGTCACCATCCCATATAAAACGCTCCCGCTCATCCCCCCACTGTCTGCTAATTCCTGATATTTTTGGAGGGTGGGGTCCTTTCTAGTTTCCCTCCCAAACTCCTCTGGGGTGTCCCAAGCTATGGGTCTTTCTGCTGTGTTAGGGCTGAGTGTCTGCTTGTGGCTTACCTGGGTCTCCCGGTCTGCTGGAGGATCTTCCTCGATACGGGTCTGTGAGCGGGTGGTCACGGGACAAGCAGCAGCAGTCGTGGGTAAATAAGCTGAAGCTAGAGGGCCAATGTCATTGCCCAACACAACTTCAGCAGGTAAATTGTCCATGATTCCTACTGTGGTCTTTCCCGACCCGACTCCCCAATCCAAGTGTACTTGGGCGGTGGGTAAGCGAAAAACAGCCCCCGCCGCAACACGGACAGCAACAGTACGGTTAGATACATGCTCCAGTTTCACGAGATGTTTCTGCACCAAAGTGATGGTAGCGCCAGTGTCCCCTAGGCCTTGTGCTACTTGTCCATTTACACGCACCTCCTGGCGGTGATGTTGGTGGTTATCTGGGGATGCGGCTTGTATGGGGTTTGCCTCGTACAGGATTCCCAAACACTCCCCAGGGCTCCCTTCAGTTTCCAGGCAGTGAGCAGCAGAGGTGCGTGTTCGCTGGAATCCCTATGTGAATTTAAGTAAAACTACTGAACGGCCGGTTGTTCGATAGTTCCAGCACGAACTTACGAGCTCCTGGAGGTCTCAGCGGTGTTTGCCTGTTTGAGTATCTGATTTTAGTTCCATGCGTTCACGGGCAAACACCGCTGTTCATGCGTAAGATGGCCGTGAACACGTGTAAAGTCCCGAAATGGCGGCCATCTAACCTGAGCACAAAGGGATTCGTGTGAAACCATGCGAACGGCTCCAAAAGCACTGGGAGGTAAAATACCACTTAACTGTTCCCCTGGGTGGTCCGATGTTCGGTATTTTGAGCTGTATTCTCCGGTAAGGATATTTCAGGAGACGTGGGGTTTGTACCATGTATCTGGGAACAACATGTCCAAATTTCAGCCCATTCGGTTGAGGCGTTCGGGAGTTATGGATCTTTGAAGTTTTGACCGACCGCACAGGTTTTCTAGCCGAAAAGAGTTCCATAATTTTTGGCCTTGAGGTCGGTCTCCGTTCGTGCATTAAAACCCCACAAACCCCTTGCCATCCACTGTCATCCTGGTGTTCGCTGGAATCCCTATGTGAATTTAAGTAAAACTACTGAACGGCCGGTTGTTCGATAGTTCCAGCACGAACTTACGAGCTCCTGGAGGTCTCAGCGGTGTTCGCCTGTTTGCGTATCTGATTTTAGTTCCATGCGTTCACGGGCAAACACCGCTGTTCGTGCGTAAGATGGCCGTGAACACGTGTAAAGTCCCGAAATGGCGGCCATCTAACCTGAGCACAAAGGGATTCGTGTGAAACCATGCGAACGGCTCGAAAAGCACTGGGAGGTAAAATACCACTTAACTGTTCCCCTGAGTGGTCCGATGTTCGGTATTTTGAGCTGTATTCTCCGGTAAGGATATTTCAGGATATTTCCCATGTATCTGGGAACAACATGTCAAAATTTCAGCCCATTCGGTTGAGGCGTTCAGGAGTTATGGATCTTTGAAGTTTTGACCGACCACACAGGTTTTATAGCCGAAAAGAGTTCCATCATTTTTGGCCTTGAGGTCGGTCTCCGTTCGTGCATTAAAACCCCACAAACCCCTTGCCATCCACTGTCATCCTGGTGTTCGCTGGAATCCCTATGTGAATTTAAGTAAAACTACCGAACGCCGGTTGTTCGATAGTTCCAGCACGAACTTACGAGCTCCTGGAGGTCTCAGCGGTGTTCGCCTGTTTGCGTATCCGATTTTAGTTCCATGCGTTCACGGGCAAACACTGCTGTTCGTGCGTAAGATGGCCGTGAACACGTGTAAAGTCCCGAAATGGCGGCCATCTAACCTGAGCACAAAGGGATTCGTGTGAAACCATGCTAACGGCTCCAAAAGCACTGGGAGGTAAAATACCACTTAACTGTTCCCCTGGGTGGTCCGATGTTCGGTATTTTGAGCTGTATTCTCCGGTAAGGATATTTCCACGAAATAGTCATTCAGTTTTTGTACTACATCCAGCGGCATTGATATATAAGACCAGGCAAAAAGCATAGGCAAAAGCATAGTTCTGTTACATCTTTGTTCAGCCAAGCCCCTCTGAGTATGCTCCTTGGTGTCTCTTTGACACACTGGGAAAGACACACTGGCTTGAGTGGGTGGAACAAGACACTGGCTGTGAGTGGGTGGGAAAGAGAGACAGACTGGCTTGAGTTGGTGGGAAAGAGAGACACACTGGCTGTGAGTGGGTAGGAAAGAGAAACACACTGGCTGTGAGTGGGTGGGATAGAGAGACACACTGGCTGTCAGTGGGTGGGAGAGAGAGACACACACGGGCTATGAGTGGGTGGGAGAGAGAGAGAAAGACACACACTGGATGTGAGTGGGTGGGAGAAAGAAAGACACACACTGGCTGTGAGTGAGTGGGAGAGAGAGAGACACACACTGGCTGTGAGTGGGTGGGAAAGAGAGACACACTGGCTGTGAGTGGGTAGGAAAGAGACACACTGGATGTGGGTGGGTAGCAAAGATAAACACACTGGCTTTGAGTGGGTGGGATAGAGAGACACACTGGCTGTGAGTGGGTGGGAGAGAGAGATACACACATGGCTGTGAGTGGGTGGGAGAGGAAGAGAGACACACATGCATGGCTGTGAGTGGGTGGGAGAGAGAGAGACACACACTGGCTGTGAGTGGGTGGGAGAGAGAGAGACACACGCTGGCTGTGAGTGGGTGGGAGAGAGAGAGAGAGAGACACACACTGGCTGTGAGTGAGTGGGAGAGAGAGAGAGACACACTGGCTGTGAGTGGGTGGGGTAGAGAAACACACTGGCTGTGAGTGGGTGGGGTAGAGACACACACTCGCTGGGAGTGGCTGGGAGAGAGACACACTCACTGTGAGTGGATGGGAGAGAGCAAGGAAGTCAATAATTAAATGTTGCCCCACCCAAAAATAAAGCTTAGCGCACATCCATTATGTTATACAGTGTGTGTAGTGAATGCAGTGTGCATAGTGAATTCATTGTGTACAGTGGATGCAGTGTCTGTGTGTGTATGCAATGTCTTGATGTGTAGTGAATGTAGTGCAGTGGGATTGTAGTGAGGGGACAGTAGTTTTTTAAATGTTTATATTAATTTAGTTTTTTTTCCCTACCTGTCTCTTACCTGTTTCAGGGTGGGGGGCACACAGGATTCCCTAGTGGTCCAGTGGCACAGCATACTGTGTCCTGTGAAGAAGGGATATTTTTAATATTTTTCATTCATGCTCATATTTGCACATTGTTATTTTCATTGTCTGCATTTGCTAAAAAACCATGGCAACATGACTAAAACAAAGACAAGGACAAGAATGAATATAAAAAGAAGTGTTTATCAGCCACGGATTTTTCCCTCTACAAATTACCAAAGAGCCAAATATGAAAGATTTTAAAGACTGAGATTAATAAACTCACTATGGAAGAAAAAATGCAAATTGGTTTATTAACTAAAAGATTACAGAATCTAGAAGATAAGCTGTAGAATTTTGATATTCAGTAGTCTCACTGCAAGAAAAGGAAATATTCCCTGTTTAACACCTTAAGGACCAAACTTCTGGAATAAAAGGGAATGTCATGTGTCCTTAAGGGGTTAAAGGATGAATAAATTAGATCAAGACAGAAGATCTAAAGGATAATTCCAGAAGACGTAATTTACATTTCGGGAACATCACAGAGGAAACAAACAAAAACAATTAAAAAGCTTCTTGCATCAGCTGTTTAAAGGGGTGGAAGATCATGGACTATATCAAGCAATAGAACATGTACATCGCTTACCTAGATCAAAGAATGTTCCAGTTTGCCAAGAGATGTTATAGTTTATTTTCAATCTTATGAGTATACAAAATTATATGAAAGTCAAAAAGAAAATTAACGATACCTTGATCTTTTGTCTCAAACAATATTTAGTTGAAAATTTACATTTATTCTGACTATATTAAGACAAAGTAACATCAAATATAGATGGGGGATTCCTGGTCTCAGTCCTCATAATGTAGGAGAGCAAACAGCAAAATGCTATGCCTTTTTTATGTTGTTCAGTAATTATTGAGGTCTGAAGTATGAGGAAGAGAGGGCAAGGATAAAGATTTAAACAAGGAAAAGAAAGAATAAAATATTTGTAACAGACCGTTTCTCTCACAAGGGGGTAAAATCGGTTTAGGCGATAATCCCCTTTCCCATAGACCAGCAGCTATTGCAATCACCAACCTCCCGAACTCCAAACTGTACGAATCCCCAACTCACGAACAAGAAATACACGAACTCTGGAAGCAGCCGAACAGGAAAAGCAATACGAACGGCTTACACTCCTGGCAGTCAGCACACAATCCAATTCCCCCAATAACGAGACGACACTTCGTTTTGAGGGTTAAGCAGAATCTCCAGATTTATTCACACAGCCTCCTTTTAAGACATTCTCCCATGCAAGGGAGGGATCCACAACAATTAGTACCCCAGCCAATAATGTACCAGTTACCTCCCACACATCTCCTCCCCTTAGTGTGACACATAATCCCATTAGTACAGACACAAATTCCCTGGGATACTGGATGTACCCCTAAACATAGGAATACCCCTTTAAATGTTACATCCCCTGGTAACCCTGATCTGGGTGAGACACATATCCAAAAATCACCCAGATCGGACCAGGGGTTTAGGAATTATAAAGGGTTAAAGTTTTGACCGACTGCATGGCAAAAGTATCCGAAAATAGTTCCATGTACTTTGGCCCTGCAGTCGGTCACAGAAAAGGGAATGAATCACACGAATTGCCTGGGTTATAGAGCTTGAGGAGGATTCGTATGAATCCCCCTGTTCGTGGGATCCTTTCTACCGAACGGCGGGCCTCCCATACATACTTTCAGCCGCTGGGGAGAGGGGATAACAAGCTCCTCTCCCTGACCCACTCTCTGCTGTTGAAGGGGGAGACCGACTGTCTCCCCTTTCAATAATTCGTCCTGTTGCTGGGGAGAGGTGATAACTGGTTCCTCTCCCTGGAACACTCTCTGCTGTTGGAGAGGGGGACCAACTGTCTCCTCTTTTAATATATTGTCCTGCTGCTGGGGAGCGAGACCGACTGTCTCCGCTTCCTGCAGGACACACTGCCGCTGGGGAGGAAGGACGGCACCTTCTGCTCCCTGGAACACACACTGCCGCTGGGGAGGACGGACGACACCTTCAGCTCCCTGGGACACACACTGCCGCTGGGGAGGAAGGACTGCACCTTCAGCTCCCTGGGGTACACACTGCAGCTGGGGAGGAAGGACGGCACCTTCAGCTCCCTGGGGTACACACTGCCGCTGGGGAGGAAGGACGGCACCTTCAGCTCCCTGGGGTACACACTGCCGCTGGGGAGGAAGGCCGGCACCTTCAGCTCCCTGGGGGACACACGGCCGCTGGGGAGGAAGGACGACACCTTCAGCTCCCTGTAGCTCACACTGCCGCTGGGGAGGAAGGACTGCACCTTCTGCTCCCTGGGACACACACTGCCGCTGGGGAGGAAGGACGGCACCTTCTGCTCCCTGGGACACACACTGCCGCTGGGGAGGAAGGACGGTACCTTCAGCTCCCTGGGATACACACTGCCGCTGGGGAGGAAGGACGGTACCTTCAGCTCCCTGGGATACACACTGCCGCTGGGGAGGAAGGACGGCGCCTTCTGCTCCCTGGGGTACACACTGCCGCTGGGGAGGAAGGACGACACCTTTCGCTCCCTGGGGTACACCTATGAGTCCCCGTAACGCACTCTGCCTCCGGATAGGGCGGCTGATACCTTTGGCTGGATCTGCCATGAACTCCAGGTACTCGTCTACCTGGCTCCTTACGAACTGCACGTATTTCTCCGGGGGGGTTGGGTCCAAAGAAAGCCAGCCGCATAGCAAACTCTCTGTCATACTGCTCCTGAGTGTAGCTAGGTGCCATGCTTGCGCTGCTGAAGTTGGCTCTTTTGTCGATAGGGTCGCTGTACGTGTACTGGCGTTGCCCTCACTTTGTAATCCAAGGAATGGTGTTGCCCTGTAGCTGTCTTTCTGGTTGTAGGAACGATCCCTCCGCTTGCCACCAATTGTAACGGACCGTTTCTCTCACAAGGGGGTTAAATCGGTTTAGGCGATAATCCCCTTTCCCATAGACCAGCAGCTATTGCAATCACCAACCTCCCGAACTCCAAACTGTACGAATCCCCAACTCACGAACAAGAAATACACGAACTCTGGAAGCAGCCGAACAGGAAAAGCAATACGAACAGCTTACACTCCTGGCAGTCAGCACACAATCCAATTCCCCCAATAACAAGACGACACTTCGTTTTGAGGGTTAAGCAGAATCTCTCAGATTTATTCACACAGCCTCCTTTTAAGACATTCTCCCATGCAAGGGAGGGATCCACAACAATTAGTACCCCAGCCAATAATGTACCAGTTACCTCCCACACCTCTCCTCCCCTTAGTGTGACACATAATCCCATTAGTACAGACACAAATTCCCTGGGATACTGGATGTACCCCTAAACATAGGAATACCCCTTTAAATGTTACATCCCCTGGTAACCCTGATTTGGGTGAGACACATATCCCAAAATCACCCAGATCGGACCAGGGGTTCAGGAATTATAAAGGGTTAAAGTTTTGACCGACTGCATGGCAAAAGTATCCGAAAATAGTTCCATGTACTTTGGCCCTGCAGTCGGTCACAGAAAAGGGAATGAATCACATGAATTGCCTGGGTTATAGAGCTTGGGGAGGATTCGTATGAATCCCCCTGTTCGTGGGATCCTTTCTACAGAACGGCGGGCCGTTCGGTAGTTTCTGCACGAATTGCTGGAAGTCTGGAGGTCTCAGCGGTGTTTGCTTAGTCAAGTGTCCGATTTTAGTTCCAGACACTCGACGGCAAAACACCGCTGTTCGGGAGTTTAAGATGGCCGCCGCCACGTGTTCGT